AACAAACTGGTTGTAAGCCTCCAATGATTTGTAAGCTTTGAAGTCTTCAAATGTATATGCACTTTTGCTATAAACCAAATAGTTCACTATGTCCGGATACGTAATATCTGGAAAATTGTCCCTCTCCCTCGACCACTCTTTGTTTGAAACCTCGTACGGGTCTTTCCCATCGATTAATTTAAGTTTTGCGATATATCTTTCTCTTGAAACATAATCTAACGAGTCTGTGTACTTTAACTTTCCTGTTTTTTCTTTCGTTTTGGTTATTGAGGTCATAGCGTCACTGTTATTTATAAATATAACATGTGATTCTCGTTTACATGCGTCAGTCTTGACCCACAAAATGGCGGACAGTCGTAAATGCCCGTATGTATACAAAGGGAGTGAAAACTATCTATTGATTTACAGATGGAAAAGGCAAAAGGAAATCAAAGTATTATGCCTTTTTCGTAATTTTTCAGAAAATATGTCAGAAAATGTTATCATCATTAGGCCTTTTAAGGTATGCATGTGTGTAGAAAAGTGTTGTCATTTTATATTTAGTGATGTAGATGATAACATTTCTTCATAATGAATGGCATTTCATTTGTGCCATAATCAGATAATCTGTACTAGGCTCTGTAACAGAATTTAGAGACTATTTCAACATCAGTTAGAATCTATTATACATTTTTGATTAACCTATATGAGCAGACTTTAATGTCAATAAAATGTATATTAATATTTTGGTCCGTCACATGTACAGTGTATAATTCTATTATGCCTGAATATGAATATTTACATATTACTATTATTAGTCCTATTTATGTCTCTGCATATTACTGGCTATGTTTATAAACATTTGAATGTTTGTTAGAATAGAAATACTGCAGGTTTTATACTCTGAAGACATTAACACAAGCTCTTCCCTGGTAGCTAGGTCTTTCACCTGTCACAGCATAAAGTATAATGAGAGAGGAGAAAAATGAGATAGACCAGACATGGATTCTAACCTGTGTCCCCCCAATCTTCGGTCAGGTGCTCTACCAACTGAACTCATCAGCAATGGAAGGCATCAGACATTTGCATCCCTGGAAAAAAAATCATGAGAAACTTTATACAAAACATTTCAGTTTGTGTATACCTATACATGTACATTAATTGTTTTCCACCTTATTATATGTGGTTAGACCGTGGATATCGGCCTTAATAATTCACTCAGTAGACACCTGAGTAGTGATGCAGGAGTCATTGGTTTGAGTACTGGTACAGACAAACATTTTATCCTATCCTGATATAGATTTGCTATTGTTGGCCACCAATGAATTTGCATGCATTTGAAAGTTTTGCCAGGGAAATAAGAACTTTGTTGTTTCTTCAAAGACAAAAACAATTTGTTAAGGAGTAAAGAGTGTACTGGTTTTAGCTGTGAATATTGGCTTGGGTAGCTATAGGTCAGTAGAGCACCTGACTAGTGATGCAGGGGTCCTGTGTTTGACTTAATTCATACATTTCCTTCTTTCCTGTTATAATGGTTAATTAACCCAAAAGCTTACAATTTATATGTATTACTTAATTTTTTTGATATTTAAAAAGATCATTGGTGAGGCCTTTACTGGGATAGCTGGAGTTTTCCTCATCATAGCAACAGTCGGCCAGGATTGGGTGGAAGTCCAGTTTTTCCGCACCTCTCACATCATCACCTGGGGATTATGGGATATCTGTGTTGGCGGACTTTGTTTGCCTGACAACGGTTTGATTTTCTTTTCTTAAATTATCTTGTCTTGGAGAGAGAATAATTTGAATTCAATATTCTTTTTAAAAAAAATTATTTAAACATTATGACCTAAGTGTTTAATGTCAATTGTTATGCATAAATATATACATTTGTGGTATCTCTCCATTATATAAACATACAGAGAGAAAATATCTTCAATTCTGTATGAAGTTTGTCAGAGGTTAGAGGTCAATACGTTTTGACCTAATCACAACCATAATGCTACATACATAAATTAAATTTGGTATACTTGCTTTTCATGTACAAAAATGAATAAAAGAAGCAAGTATAATGATAATTATTTTATTTTAAATGTAAACAAGTATTTTGTTAGAGTTATTCAACCCGTGTACATAGAAAATTTCCAGCGTTTGTTTACATTTTTCTTCACTTTTTTCAGCTGCACAGTCTGCTAACGTTCATATTTTTTGAAAGAAATTTGGTTAAGATTTTCATGATAAACTTTTATTTTATCTTTAAATTTTACTCACGATAAATGTGCAAATCTGTTGGAAAATATCTTTGCAATCATGCCATGAACAGCTGCCAAAAATTTCGTAGTTCAATTATTTGCAGTTTCCGTGTTTATCAGTGTTTTACTATAAGTATGCCTTTAGGTACTGAAATGAAATGTTTTTATCAAACTGCAAATTAACTGGCTCGGACAAGTATCTAAATCCATCGGATTTTATTTTGGGTATGATCACACCACCTTTATCATCAAACTTCAGACGTGTTTCCTGTGTCTTTTAGGATCGAATCATTTTTCACGAATAAAATATTTGCAGTTTCTGTTCACTATTTCTGATCACAAGTAGCCTTTCACAAAATATTCCCTTGAAATGAAATTTAGCCTATAGATTTATCCGCCATGCAAGCCGATTTACACCTAGGTGAATTTTTATTACGACGGACGGTTAGTGCAATAATTTTTGAAAGTATTATGCTGTCCAAATGTATATATAAGTAAAAATAACAATTATTTGCAGTTTTCCTTCATTTTCTTTGCAGAAGGCCTTCGGCCTTCACATATTTGAAATGAAATTTTTTACACAAAGTTTATAACTTGAATTTCTTAAATGAAGTTTAATTTATGCCCCCCCCCCTGTTTATGGTAAGATGTGCACCATTTTTGGTAGATTTAGTGCCCCTTGTTTTCTTCAAAAATTGCACATTTGAAATGAAATTTGGTATACAGATTTATCAGATGAATACATCTTTTGTAACTTTTTTTTAGTTATGCCCCTTAAACAAAAAATCTGTATTTATACCGTTCATTTTCTTCCTAGGTTGCAAATCTGAAATTGAAATTTGTATAGAGATTTATCAGGTGAATATTTAGGTCAAGTTCTATTGCATTCACAAAAATATTTTTCTTAAAAATAAATCAACAATAAGAAAATTAAACAAAGCAGTGGTCATTCGCAAAATTTTGAAACGTAAAAATTTATTATCAACAGATTTTGATGAATATCTAAATAAAATCTATTTTGTATGATCAAATTTTTGCAAGAGTTATGCCCCTTGCACTAAGAAACATTCCAAATATTTGCAGTTTTTACATTTTCTTCACAGAGGTTAACATATTGAAATGAAATTTACTCTATATTTTTTTATAAGACAATAACAGGTGAAGTTTTATTTTATCTCCATTTTTGATAGAGTTATGCCCCTTGCACTTAGAAAAATTCCAATTATTTGCAGTTTTCCTTCATTTTCTTTGCAGAGGTTGCACATATTGAAATGAAATTTTTTACACAAATTTATAAGTAGAATATCTAGGTCCAGCAAGAGCTCTGTTGTGATTGCACCATTTTTGGGGGAGTTATGCCCCTTGGAGGAAAAATTCCAATTACATGATTACATCTTTTGTAACTGTTTTTTTATTATTAAAAAAATCTGTTCTTATACCGTAAATCTGGAAATTTTTGCTGTAGATGAATTTTTAGCAAATTTGCGAGTTCATTGCATTCACAAAAATATTTTTCTTAAAAATAAATCAACAATAAGGAAATGTAAACAAAGCAGTGGTCATTCGCAAAATTTTGAAACGCAAAAATTAATCAACAGCATTTTGATCCAGATTTGCAAAATAAAATCGATGTAAAAATTTCCAGATTTACGGTATTCTTGTTTTTACATTATTTCAGATAACCGTAACAATTTCCACTCTATATTTTTTTAAAGACAATAACAGGTAGATATTATTATATCTCCAGGTTGGATAGAGGTTTGCCAGGCCTTGTCCTTGGTTGCCCTCCTTCTGTGCCTGGGGGCCTTTATCTGTGGATTTGTGGGACTCTGTATCCATTCTCACTGCAGCAAGAGGTTGTGGTTCATCTTGGCGGGGGCTGTTATGTCCCTCGTAGGTAAGGAATTATTACATGATTACATATTTTGAGTTTCATGCTAAAGCAGTCTCTAGATCATCAAATTTTGATTTCAATCAGAGACCGGTGTTGCCATGGTTACGTCCGTCTAGCTGTCTGTTTCTGTGACAATTTTTAAAATGCTACTCCTCCTACAGTTTTGGTCTGATTTGAATATAACTTGGCACACAAGTAGACTACACTAAGATACATAAAATAAAGCATCGGATTTTGATTTCGATGAACCATGTTGCCGTGGTAACTAAAAATAGAATTTTCTGTGAAATTCCTTTCGATGATTTCAGTATAACTTGGCACACAAGTGATTACACTAAGATACAGAAAACAGCCATGGTTACTAAAAGTAGAATTTTCTGTGAAATTCCTTTTAAACGCTACTATTTCTACTTTTGTGTACAGTTTTGGTCTGATTTCAATATAACTTGGCACACAAGTAGACTACACTAATATACATAAAATGGTGCATCGGATTTTGATTTCAATGAACGGTGTTACCGTGGTAACTAAAAATAGAATTTTCTGTGAAATTCCTTTAAAACGCTACTCCTTCTACAGTTTTGGTCTTATTTCAATATAACTTGGCACACAAGTAGACTACACTAATATACATAAAATAGTGCATTGTTTTTTTATTTCGATGAACGGTGTTGCCATGGTTACTAAAAATAGAATTTTCTGTGAAATTTCTTTAAAATGCTACTCTTCCTACAGTTTTGGTCTGATTTCAATAGAACTTGGCAAACAAGTAGACTACACTAATATACATAAAATGGTGCATCGGATTTTGATTTCAATGAACGGTGTTACCGTGGTAACTAAAAATAGAATTTTCTGTGAAATTCCTTTAAAACGCTACTCCTTCTACAGTTTTGGTCTTATTTCAATATAACTTGGCACACAAGTAGACTACACTAATATACATAAAATAGTGCATTGTTTTTTTATTTCGATGAACGGTGTTGCCATGGTTACTAAAAATAGAATTTTCTGTGAAATTTCTTTTAAACGCTACTATTTCTACTTTTGTCTACAGTTTTGGTCTTATTTCAGTATTACTTGGCACACAAGTAGACTACACTAATATACATATTAAAATAGTGCATCGGTTTTTGATTTCGATGAATGGTGTTGCCATTGTTACTAAAAATAGAAATGTCTGTGAAATTCCTTTAAAATGCTACTCCTTCTACAGTTTTTGTCTAATGACAATGGCTTCTTTTCTCATCCTTTGTTATAAGTACAAACCAGTAGAGCTACAGTCTCGACAGAGACTTCTGGTTTCTGCTTATGACCATAGCAACGCTCTATTTAAAGAATCTGATTTGATTTTTTTAAAATGGGAAAATTAGGACCACACCAATCATAAAAAAGTTTATCATCAGTGATAAGGAAATGTGCTTTTTAGCTCACTTGAGCCTGAGTCAAATCATGACCCCCGGGGGTAGGGCAGGGCCACAATGGCTGATCAAAGTTTTACACAGAAATATGTAGGAAAAATCTTTAAAAATCTTCTTCTCCAGAAACTGGGCCAGGAAAGATGAAACTCATGTGGAAGCATCCTCAGGTAGTGTAGAATCATGTTTCTTCAAATCATGACCCCCGGGGGTATGGTGGGGCCACAACTGCCGTTCAAAGTTTTACATTGGAAAATATAGGGAAAATCATTGAAAATCTTCTTCTCAAGAATAAATAGGAAAAACAATCATTTATTGTATGAAAGCATCATCAATCAGGTAGTTGTTAGTTTAAAATTTCAGACCCCCCCCCCCCCCAATCCTCTGTAAACTTCTCAATACTGAAGTAATTTCTGCTTTTATTTCCCAGCCAATGTGCTCAGGTGAGCGATGTGGCCCATGGGCCTCTGATCATACTGTAGAAGTACTTTTTTCCGCGTGGTATTAATTTACGCAATGTACGCGGAAATTTGTCCAAGTGTACTTTTAAATATAAATGTAAGGCATATAGTGACAATCTAGAATATCTGCGTAATTTTCTACCCGCGGATTAAACAGAAATTGAGATTCCGCGGAATTATGACCCTGTGGAAAAAAGTACGTCTACAGTATTTAAAAATACAGAGTGTAAATTTTAATGGTTTCTGTGGTATAATACCTTGGTAATGATTGCCAACCAAAATGAAATATCATAATTTGTTCTTGGTATATGTTTCAAGGCTCTTTTCTCTATTATTTGGTCACATTTTATCCTATGATTGGTTTTTATATTTATGTGTATTACTTAATAAGATTCAATGAATATTTTTTTTTACCTTTGAATACTTTGTTACCATGGTAACAAATGTAATAGTTGATTTACTAAACATGTTTATCATGCATTTAAGACATCAGGCTTTTAGCTTTAGGAAACAGACATTGCCAACTGTTTGTTTTGCGGCAAATGTTAACTATGGGGCTCTAAACATGTTAAAAAATGCCATTTTTCAAACTTAAAGACAGGTTGCCATGGTAAGTAACTATAACACATAGCAACCAATTTTTGCCTGAAGTTAGTTAAGAGTATCAATTAAGGTTTTCATCAAAGAGAGTTTGGAGAAATTCTGAGACTAGCTCCTACATAAAAAGTCAAGTCATAATAGAGAATGGCTCTTAAAAACATATTCTCCAAGTTTTCAAAGTATATTTTCTGAATCGGAATTAAGTAGTTCAATTAATTTTGCCATACTAGGTCTTGCATTAAAATATTTTTTAATATATTGTAGTATTTGTATTTCAATGTTTAGGAATGTTTTATGTTTACAATCAGAAATAACAACAAATACAATATTTCCATCAATTTAATTAAGCTTATTTTTGTATGTGTTTAAATGATTTAATTAATTTACCCCTATTGAAACTCTATTTTTAGAATCATTTAAAGTGCAGTAGTATTTTTTTCAGGCTATTCTGATAATTATAACTAAAGCTCAGCTACCAACACCTTGATATGTCAAATTAGGAGATAAATTTGTATATACATGTATTTAAATTCATTAAGTAAGATTATATACCAGTGGGATATTGAGTGGTCAAACAAATCTATTTTTATTTCTTATTTAATTGGCTTTAGAGGATTAGGGTGTTTGTTCTTTTTATTTATTTACAGAATAGTTCATACTTGCAGAAAACAATTAAGATCTTAAGTCACTATAATGGTATTCTGTTCTACATTTAGATGAAAAATTAGCTGTTTATTTATGTTATTCAATTTTGTTCTAGGTAATGAAATAATTGCCATTAGAAATTTGGGATTTAAATTTTTAGCCATAGATTGATAATTTTATGAACTTCAAGGTGTGTTAGGTAGAATGTTTAGGGAGGCCTCGTGGAAATGGCTGCTGATGACTTTGAACTAGTCCGCGAGCGAGGCCTGTTTGTCCTAGGAATTCTCAATGGAATCCTCATTCTGTGTATTATTGCCGGAAACTTGTTTGTCATTTTTTCATTCATAAGATGTCATTTTAATGTTTTTGTGGCCACAAAGTACTTCATTTTCTCCATGGCGGTGGCAGACATTTTGTTAGGAGTGATTCATCTCCCAGTGGTCGTGGTGTCTCATATCGGAGGAAATCAGATTGCAAAACTTCCAGCTGTGTGTATCCTGCGTCATGCTTCTGCGATGGGAATATATTCTGCTGTTATGTGTAACCATGTCGCTGTCGCAGTGGACCGCTATATTGCTATAATACGTCCACTGCGATACCATGCAATAATGACAAGAAAAATTGCCATCATTGTTTTAGTTGTGATTTGGGTGTTCAGTTGTATTTTGATGACCACCCCAGTGATGATTCAAATATCAGGTGATGAGCAAACAGTCAAAAGTGACATGAAAGATAACTGTGGACCTTATCGTGAGATATGGCCGTTAGTAGACAAACATGGCATCCTAGCTTTCCTAGTGTTTATAACCATAGTCCCAGTAATTCTCTATATCAGGATTTTTCTAGTGGCGCGCAAACAGCAGAGGTTTTTAGCATCAGTCCTAAGAATGACAACAGATGATAGGAAAATGAATCAACATACAGCCAAGATTATGACACTTATGCATTGTATTTTTATATTGTGTTGGGTTCCCTTTTTGGGAACAATACCAATGTATTTTATTGATGTTAATGCAAAAATAAGGGACCTTGTAGTACGTAGTGCCATATTTATAGCAAACTGTAACTCAGCTGTGAATCCTTTTGTCTATTTTTTGTTGAAAAGGGAATTTAACTTTCCATGGAAGGCCTTCCTACAGAAAAGACTGCCTTGTCTCCTTCCAAAAGTCTCATCAGAGGAAGTTTCATTATAACACAATGGTGCTTAATTAAACACAATATCTATCAATACAAGGATTATAATGAACCACTATTCTTATGTTTTCCTACTGTTTTATTTATTTGACTTTTAAAAGAAAGATACGTTTTTTTATCCTACCCACAATATGGATGTAAAGAGGTTGATAAGTGCATGCTTTACAATAGCTGGGAGAGAGTTTTATAAATTTGTTTCTTTTTTCTAGCACTTCTGGATCTATTGACGCTGATCATGTATCCAATCATGTTTAACTCGGACATCGTCAACCTACAGACGGACAGACACTGGCATTATACACTGAAGACCTGGAACTTTGACTGGACATATGGCTTTGGATGGGGCGCATTTATATTCACCACTGCAGCCTCCATATTCTTCATTCTTCCTTTGGACGACAAAAAAATTGTTACAAAACCATTCTGAGAGGAGTCACATGTAGTACTAGACTCCCAGACATGTTTAATCATCTTGTGGCAGGAACTATATTACGGGGGAGTTATAAAATACAGAGTGTGAATGGGATTTTAAACTTACACCATATTCCATACAAGGTTGCATAACAGTATTATATTATGTATACTTTTACTAAAGATGCACAACTTATAGCAGATGGTATGTACCTGGAAAAAACAAAAAAAAAGTTCCTTTAAGATTTTATAAAGCATTATTTCTCTTTATGAAATCTTTAACTGCATTTGCAAAATTAAAATAATTGGATGCATTTTGTATTAGTGAATTATAGTATTATATAAAAATAATACTTACCAATAAAATACTGTTATAGATTAATTATGCTGCTATATAAAGATATTTTGAAATGCTTGTATAACTTGAAAAAAGGAAGTCTCATACAAGACTGTAATTTTAATTTAAACTTTTTTATTTTTATAGAGACAACTTCAGATTATTACACATGTTACTGAGTTACTAATTTTCTACAAAGTCACAATCTTGGATGACATAATTTTGGATATTTTAGTTTAACTTTTAGTTTATTTTAGAAGTTTTAAAAATGATTTTCCATCATTCTATGGAGTTGTTTATATTATGAAATTCACATTGTCCTCAGTTTCAGTTTCAGTAACAATTTTTAATTAAGGAATATCTAATTTTTTGGTTTCATGATGTAATCAATTGAGTGGCTTGCTTGATAATTTGATATTTACAAGCCCTTGATGCCGCAAATCTATGTGCAACAAGCCCCCAGCTTCTTACTCTATTTGTCCCAATGTACTCCCACGTGCAGTTTTTTTAACCATGCCCATCAATGAACCAGTAGATGAAGAAATAAATATTTTTACAATTTGACAATTTGAAGTTTTATTTTGTACAAAGACATTGGAAATGTTAATATAAAATCATAACATTCAATTTCTTGCAATATTTTGTCTCTAAGACAGGTTGTCATTTTTTTTTTTAACTTCTTGCTTTTATATATATTTTTTAATGTATATACATTATTTATCTTTTATTGTGTTGTTGATGGTGCTATTTCAAGTTTACTTATGCTTAGTGTAGATTGTTTACTTTATTTATATTTCAATGCATTCCAATACTAGGTATATACAGTATTAACTGTTAGAATGAATAAGAGTCTGCTACTTGACTTTGACATGATTTTCAAAACCATCACAAATCTTTTGCTTTACACTGATGGTCTGGTATTTCGATGTAAAGAAAATTTAGTATTTGTATTTGTTTTATTTGATTACATGGGGAGACTGAAACTTCATTTGGTCAAAAATTAACAATGTATGTTGAACATTCACTTTAAGATTATACACAAATCATAGCAATAATTTTCTGATTACAGATTATGATTACATGTAACAACATGCGTTTTACTAATATTAGATGGTATATAGTGTAGAATGTTATTTACATGTACTTTTATCTGATTCTCAATTTCAAATTCTATGCCCCCCCCCCTTCCAAAGAAAAATATCCCCATTTCTAAGCTAGTTTTGATCAGAAATTTACTAAGAAATTTATTATATGACAAATCATTTTTGTTGCTGTTGAGAAGATCTACCTCATAATAATTGATGCTGTTTATACGATATTGTTGTTTGTTTTCTTTTAATAGTAGGTTGTATTGTAAAACCAAAGCCAAAGCTATTGATGTGTTTTTTAATTAAAAAAAACAGAAACATATTTTTGTGTTCCTTTTTTATTTTGACTTGTAATTAAACAACATAAATTATGTAGATGTTGTTCCTTGTCAAAGAAAGGAATTTTCCTCTTTTCGAATTATAGAATGACCTTCAACATTATGACCTTTATTTCATGACCTTGACCTTTGAGATATGAATGTGCAGCAAGCCCATGATACATGTATAAAATCAAGTTGCTAAATATTTCATAGATATTGTTGAATCTCATTGGCCAGAAATCTAGACCTGAAAAATAGGTTTATTATCATTTATTACTGTTTTATTGCTTATGAAAATGAATATAATTTATAATTGTAATGTTCACAATTTCAGCGTATGTTGTGGGACAAAATTAGTATTAACTTCACATTCTTTATAGGAATAATAGCCAGGTATCCCATGAGAGACACTTGTCTTTTCAGCTGGTCTTCGAACCTAAATTTAATCAACGACCTTGAAATATGACCTTGAATCAAGATTACGACTCATTCAATTTTAATAGTCATTCTTCAATGGAATTTTAAGTTTCAAATACATGTAATTACAAAAAAAAGGATTAAAGAGTTATTGGCGCCAATACCTCTACTGTAATTGTTTTTTTACAAGGGGAAAACAGTTATAAATGGTAATTACAGAAATACGATATATAGTTTATATCTAATTTTTGTCAAGTTTTAATTTTTACACTTGGAGTATACTGCTTCGAGGAAAATAGATGGTTAAAGATTTAAGCTGAAGTACTGTGACCAATGATCGAGCTCACCCACCCACCCCCCTCTCTCTCCTCCCCTCACTCCCATTTAAGAAATGGACAACTTTATTCAATTAACATGGCATGTGAATAGCAATTGCTTCGCTGACAAATTCCATGATGCACACTAGGACAGAGAGAATGCAATTCTTCCTATGAAGGAGAATTTATTCAAAAACTTCTACACAAGAAGAGGAAATACTAGCTGTGGCCTTCAATTGACACAAAAATAATTATTTTCATTCGTATGTCAACTCGATATATCCCAGTAACTTGAAAATACAGACACCACGTAGTCTGTTGTAGCTATTTCAAATTTCGATATTTTACTGACTATAGACGAAAAAGGCCAATGAACAACTTAACTTTGTGATTGATTGATTGATTGTATATTGTTTAACGTCCCTCTCGAGAATTTTTCACTCATATGGAGATGCCACCACTTGCCGGTGGAGAGCTGCAAATATTGTCCTATACTCGACACTCAGGGCCATTGAGCAGGGAGTGATCTTTTTCGTGCCAGCACCTTCTGCGACACGGGACCTCGGTTTATACGGTCTCATCCGAAGGACCGGTCTCCACGTCCCACAGCGGGATTAGAACCCGCGATGTAAGGATCAACTCCTTACTTCACGACTCTAGAGCAGACGCTCTAACCACTGCGCCACGCGGGCGACTAACTGTATGACAAACGAGATTACTTCAGCTTTTCCATCATTAACCTTCCTTATCTATGAAGTAATATACAACTATCGCCTGCTTACGGTGTTTATATCTCCCAACTTATTCTCTACTCAAGAGCTTGCAAACTTTAAAGGGAGGTAGGCTACTCACTCATAAGTTGGTGTTACAGGGGTTTCAACAGCCTCGTGTAAAGTCAGCTTTTCGTACATTTCATGGTCGTTATAATGGCCTAGTTAGCTAATATAACCTACCATTGGGTCATCTTTTGGCTGATTTTTTCATACCAATTGTTATATACCTTTGTTTCAACACTAAATTGACCACGAAAAGACCACAGGTGCTTGAGGACAGGAACCCCCCACCCCTAGACTTTTTTCACATAAATTATATATGGATGACACATTTGTGATATACAATGTAATATCTATTCTATCAATTCAGAAAATTTGCTTAAACTAACATTTTGTAAAAATTTCTACCCACTCTCTCTCATATAAATTAACATATGGTTCACCACTAGTACAGTTATCTTCACTCTTTACGCAAATCTCTATGAACACTGGAGAAATAAAAAGAATCTTGGTTATGAACATTTTCTAAGCCCTTCCGACAGGCCTACTAATCTAACAAAAGTCTTCACGGACCTGTTTTATGATACCATGAGAGGGTGTTTCTTGATAACTTGAACAATAAAGCAGTTATTCTACGCAATAATAACCGAGTTAGCACATTTTAAAAGCTAGTGTCTGTACATTTAAAAAAAAAGCATTGTTGAGCGACAGGTATGTGTTCAGAAATTACGAAACTACCTCTTATTTATATTGCCTGTCCGAAATCGAAACTAAAGGATATTTCTATATCCTATCCTGCAACAGTAGATTACTTTATGAAATTTTAATGAGATTTTGGGGATTATACGTTGTGTTTATGGACGATGTTGGCGTATCCATGTAACGTTCATAGTTCTGAAGAAACCCGTTTTTATTGCAATAAGTGCCAAAGAAGAATATGTGACGACTGTGTACTCGAAGAATGTAAAGGCCACCCTTTAGAAAGGGCGAGGAAAGAAGTTGACATCAAAAGGTCAACAATCAAACAGAAATTAGAGGCAATGAATCGAGAAAAATGTCAGACAGTAGAAGGTTTCCGCGCCAAAATGACCTCTGTTGAAGAAGATATTGAAAAGGTTCACAAACGCGCAGAAGAACTGAAACACACTCTTGACGAGATTTGTCAGAAAACTCTGGAGGAGCTGACGAGGTCAAAAGAAGAAATGGAAAAACACCTCAAGGAAATGGAAAGTGATATTCAAGAAAAAGAACGATTTGTCGTGGAGTCCTTAAAGAAGTTGGATTCAATGAATGAAGATGAAATAGAAAAGGTAAATGCTAGGATGAAAGTTCTAGAAAATGTTGATCTTCTTTTCTTAAAATTGCCACCACCAACATTTGTAGGGCCTGATGGGAAGGATGATACAGTTCTGATGAAGACCGTCTTTGGTTATGTCCAGTCTGGGCGTCATGAAGAGGCATTGCTACCTATGGAGCAGAACGATTATATGCCAATGAGTCCAAAATCCTCGGAACTTCCCAAAAGGCCGCAAAAAATAGACCGTTATGAAGAAGTGGAGTTGCCCTCAAAGGACGATACATATTTGCTGATGAATCCAAGGACACCAGAAGTTCAAAAAGCACCACCAGGAACACAACATAGTTTGAAAGCCAAAGTAGTCATCACCTACGATCTAGGCATGCTGCCTTACTTTTTTATAAGTAAAAATGACGAGTTCTTTGTAACCGACAAAACCAAACTTTTCAAGATAAAGCCCGAAAAAGAAAAGCAGCTAAAGGAGTTGGTGGATGCCAACGATACCATCAGAGGGATAGTCGGGTCCAATGAAAATCTTATCCTGATGACATCTAGTATGGTGTATAAATTTGAGATGAAAGGTGCAAAAACAAAACAGTGCCGATTATCAAATTTCGTAGATCCCCTTGGACTATTTGTAGCCTGTATTGGGAAGGCCGTCTCCGGGAATTCATTACTGCTTGGACTTAAAATTACTGGAGACGAGGCGTTTGAACTAAGAAGATATCCAATGGAAGAGAAAGGTTGTGTAGCATTTGAAAAGTTGGTTCTGCCCAGAGAAATACAGATTCCGTTAATTACTCACGTGGCGGAGAGCACGAATGGCGATATATGTGCTATAGTCAAGGACGAAGCTGACTCTTCCTACTTAATTTGCTTTGACAGCGACGGAATCATTCGATATAGATATCCAAAAGATGAAAAACGCAAAAGGAAATTCCTGGGGATCGGTATGTTAAGGGAGGGTGTGATTGTTCTTGCAGACGCTTGTGCTTTATCGGGAATCCATTTTCTTGACAAAGATGGATGTCAGTTATACTTTGAACGAAGGGGGAGAGGAGGACCACTGCCCATTAGCCTCGTTACTGATTCCAGTGACGTCGTTTGGGTGGGATTTGATGATGGAACAGTCGAGGAAATTAAAGTTACCAGAGAGTTCAGCTTTTCATAAGATTCATGTAGACGATTCCTTATTCCATAACTATAACAAAAATGAATAGCGTATTTCATGTACAGAAAATTCTACATGTAGAAAGTAGCTTCAGATATATAAAAATCACATTCAAAGTGTGAATGTAGTATTTAGAGTAAAGTTCTCATCGTTGATTTTTATGAAATCATGATAAACAAAAAGTTTTTGTATTAATAATGTGATAAGTGGCAATGGGATTTGCATTTTTAATCGAGACTAGTACTCTAACCACTACGCTACACAAGTTCTGATGAATTTGGACATTTAAATCATGTTTGTGATATGATCGTTGACTTAAGGGACTTAAGTATTTTCGAAAAGATACGAAACACTCTTTGCCCCATAATTTTTGAAACTAAAATACATGTATGTATGTTTGTATGCAAACTTTGAGGATTAACTTTCAAAAAAATGGAGAGAAGACCCACTCATATCGAAAAATAGTGTTATAATGTAAAAAAAAAAATGACTCGTTTTGTCCACTTTCGTGTGTGTATAATATTTCAAAGGCAAATAACTTCAATCTTCATGAGATTAAATTTCTGCGAGTTGTAGAGATTTTACATAAAGTATACTTTAATGTTAGATGAAATATTAAGGAAAATTTTGATATAATTGAGATTTAATTTTTCACCTTCATGTTCGTTGCGCTGTAGGCTTATCTCTCGTCATGTTCGCCCATCTCCTTTGTCTTTTTGAAAGTGCATGGGATTTCACCATAGACGTGTTTGTGAAACACTGATGCCCCTGTATGGTAGCTAATGGCGAGGATTAAAATTTCTCAGATGGAGAGTCAAACTTCAAAGATCGTGGTCAAAAAGTCAAAATTTTTGGTACGAAAAGGAATATCTTGTCACATAGAATACACGTGTAAAATATGAAAGTCTTGGTACTAACTGTTCAAAAATTATGGCCAAGGTTAAAGTTTAATAAAAGTGGGTCAAAAAATATTTTTTACCCATTAAAAGGTCTTGTCGCAATGAATACACATGTGTGAAAGCCCTGGTACGATTTGTTTAAAAGTTATGGCCAAGGTTTCAGTGTTTAAATTTTTTGTAAAAGTGAGTCAAACTCCAAGATCAAAGTCAAGAGGTCAAAGTTGGTGTCTCCCAAGAAAGGTCTTGTCACAACGAATACCCTTGTGAAATATTAGACATAATATATTGTAAATACATTAATAAGTACATTTCGATCGAAAATGATGATTGGGTTATTAAACCAAAGTACATGTACAAGTATGTACGCGGTTTAAGATTTCCCAGAGCGATGTAAATACTAGTTCTCAAAGAATGGTTACACTGAGTATACTTCCCGGTTTTGAATTAGATTTGAATAGAATATCATTAGGTAAAGGTAAGTATTAATTTGTTCGATTCAGTGCGTGATGATAGAACTCTTCATCAGGGACAGCCCTTTCATTTGGTAACCAACTTCCCTCACCTATGCAGCACTACCTTCATCCACTGCATACGGGGTTTATATCTCTCGTTTGATTCGATACGCAAGAGCATGCTCTACGTATGACTAATTTCTAAATTAAGTTACGTTATTGACAAACAAGTTGAAACAGGAATATCAGCAGTCTCATTTAAAGGCACCAATTCTTAATTTCTATGGTCGATATCATGACCCAGTCAGCAAATGCAATCTATCATTTTAAGTAAAATGCTACCTGACGTTTTTCATACTAAATGTTAGGCAATTATTTAACACATTAATTGACGGATTTTTCCGTTTTTTTTTCTACAATGAGCAGACTGTGGGTGTGATCGGTCGGCATGGGATGACATTTCCTCTATGGTACCTAATCCTACCTTTGGTGTTTAAGAGTTCCGTGTTTTCTTTGAATATCAACATTTCAATCTTGATGTTTGACCTTCTTTTGAAAACTTTAACCTTTTGTAACCTTCGAATAGTTGGTGCTGGGGCTTTAATTTTTCACAGGTGTATTCCTTGTGACAAGGACTGTTCTTTAGATAAGAACAATTTTGACTCTTTAACCTTGACCTTGTACTTACAATTGATAAAAATTAATTGAGACAAGTCCTTTTTATGTGCAATAACATTTTTCATCGCTTGCCCTTGAAGTTTAACTTCCATTTGAAAAAAAAAATTAAACCTTAAATTCACCAAAAGCTGCCATGCGGTGTATCAATGTTTCTCAAACACATCTTGATTGTTTTTTTTTGCTTTATTTTCTTTCTTTTTTTTAATCTATATAATATTCCCTCCTAAGCCTTGGTTATATTTTCAGCATTCCTCATAATAACTTCCTGTTACATTTAACATACATGTTTAGATTACTGTCACAGTTTAAATGCATGTCTTGTTTTGCCATTTTTTTCTTTATTACACATGCTCAAGAACATTTTGCGGTTTTCTTTACCTGGATGAGTAATGCTATCTCAGACTTTTCAAAAGTCTATTTTTAACTATTTGTCAATGGGGAAAAATGCATGACTTTAATATAGATATTAACTTTCTTTAAACCCTAGATTAAAATTCTAACTGGTACTGAAGTATTTCAAAATGAGCAATCACTGTGCATATGCATACATGTATTCTGGATGTTTTACTGCTGCAGAAATGGTTCATTTTAAATTAATCTTTTCGAAAGTTTACGGTGGCATGCCTTACACCTGTATGGTCATGGTTTGGTGCAGTTACTGAGTAATCGATGCTAGTAATTTACCGGAGTTACTAGGAACTCATAGGAGGACAGAGGAATGGATGAAGTGAGTTCTTGGAAGAAATTGTTCGTAGAGATTCAGTCAATACATGAGAAGCTCAACAGTCAAGGAGAAATGTTAAATGAAATATCCAGAAAAATGGCGATTAGGTCAGTGGAAGTTAACAACAACTATCGCCATGGCTACGAGGCCAGTGACGAAACCTCGACTGATTCTTTGTCATATAGTACAACAACTGAGAACACAGGTTTGTACGAAAAAAAAACAACTATTAATCATGCAACTTTTATCAAAATTTTGCTTTCTCTTTAAAATCATGCAACTTTTATCAAAATTTTGCTTTCTCTTTAATCAACAATTACAATGTATTTAAAGCTGATACTTTCTCAAAATGAATCATATTTTCTTTCAGAAATGATAGTATCTGAAATATATATGCATGCCCATATATCCTACTATATATAAATACATGTACTTGTATTTTCAGAATCTCCATATGATGCGTTCCTGCAGTCTGAACATGTTAAGTTTGTGGAACGTCTTCATATTAATGCTTTTCTGGATAACCTCCTAGAAGACTATATCCTGTCGCCGTCTGATCATGAGAACATCAGAAAACTGAGCCACAACAGGAAAGACCAGGTTCGCTTTCTTCTGATGCGCCTTCGTCGTTATGGTCCACAGGTTTTCCAGCGTTTCAAAACTATTCTTGAAAAGACGGATGTGGAATGGCAGGATTCCATTTCTGACATCAGGTCAAATGGGGAATGCTTTAAACAAGACTGCATCGCCTGCATAATAGCAAAGAAGGTTGATATCCGAGATTGCATAGATGTGCTCTATAGCAAGGGTTTGGCACACCATGACACAATGGAAACTATGTTGAGCTCTCTCATGACCTCAGAAACTGTCTGGAGACTAGTGTTTAGAGACATTAGCGAACATGGAGGATTGTGGACACATATGAAAACTTTACAAGAAGCCATACCATCACAGTATATTGATCTTAAAGAGAAACTGGGCCAAATGAGAGACATTGTGTTGTGTTCTTCTTGCAAAGGTACATATCCAGTCTCAAATTCCAGAAGCAACACTAGCAGTTCTGATTCGATACAAACGGTTCAAAAAGATGTAGATCCAAATCAATTATCAAACGTTGCGTGTAATTTTGAGAGAAACGAACGCTTGGAAAGTCAGTCTAAAAATGACGACGAAGATGATCAATTAGGCGTGGAGGAAAACGCAGAACAACCAAAGAAGGTCGATCTCAGAAGGTTTGGGTTCGCCCCGGAGTCCATGAGCAGCAACGGAACACAAACTCTGGATGACTTGTTGCGTTTCCACGAAAATGAAAAATCCAGCTCACAAACCTTGAGAACGGTCGGACCTGGATTCCTGCGCCGTACGCAGTCGGACAGGAGGGGCGATTATCGTCCTATTTCTGCTAGCGTCCGTCGAAGTCAATCGGACCGAACACAGAAAGTAATGCTAACCAGAGCACCGATAGGGGGACTTGCTTTCAACGACAAATCAAATGTTATCCGTAATTTCAATACGTCTATTCTTCCGAAAATTCAAACGGAACCGCGTCTGTCTCATTCAGCAAAGACAGTTTACCGTTCACAGAGTGATAGAAGAGAAAACAGGAAGTCCTACATAGGAAGAAGGCGCCACACACTTTCTGGGATGAATTCCAATATGTACCAATAATGACTCTTTAAACGCAATCAATCAATCAGTCAATCAGTTTTGTCAATGCTTTTGCAGAATTTACACTATTATTTTGTTTCATTTCATACCATTGATGTTTGCTTTAACTGTAATTACATGTACATGTATATGTATCTTTCTTTACTCCTCACTAAGATAAGGAAAAACTGTGCAACAATATACCGGTATTCAACATGTTCAAGAAGTGGTATGAATCAAATGTGGATACTCAAGAATTCCAAAGAACTTTTGGACAATTTGAAATCACAAGGTTTTACCAAAATCAACAGCTTAAAAATTTACGACTTTTCAACTTTATACACAACCATTTCCCACGATAAATTAAAGTCCAGGCTTTTTGATAACATTGACAGCTGCTTTTTCATTGAAAATGGAACTCGTAAATTTACTTACTTGGTCATTAGTCATTTGCAAAATTATTTTGTTAAAACACATTCTGATTGCACACACAAGTACTCTGAAGTTGACATCAAAAGGATGCTTGAGTTTCTGATTGAAAATATCTATATGGTTGTCGGAGACCAGGTCTTCCGACAATATATTAGAATTTCCATGGGTACCAATTGCACTCCGTTATTAGCAGACCTATTTATTATTCATACGAAGCAGAATTTGTGCAAAAACTTATGCGTGAAAAGAAGAAAACACTTGCTGGGGCCTTCAACTCAACGTAAAGATATATCGACGATGTATTGTCAATTAACAATGGTAATTTCCATACCTATGTCGATACGATGTATCCTGGTGAGCTCGAGATAAAAGATACCACAGAGTCTGACACATCTGTTTCATACTTGGATATTTTGCTTGAAAAAGACGTTAAATGGACTTTAACTTTTCCTCAAACAACCAATATAGCTACACACGGCGTTTATATGATAAACGTGAACAAATTCTAAAACGACAAGAATATTAACTTTTTAGTACATATCGTCAATAGCTTGTTTTGCTTTAGAAATAGTACATAGATATAGCATGCTTTTGTGTATCGACTCAACTGAGAGTCCTTAAACTCCGTACGCAAGTGATAAGGGTATATTGTTACATACGCTGTATTAAGTTCGGAAAAATTGACAGTAGAAAAAGTAAATTTATCACGTTTATCTTTAAGTCTTGTTGTAAGGTTATCACTAGATCGCTTGTTTCTGGCAATCTAAATATGAAGGAGAAGTGTCAGACTGTAATATCTTGTACTTCAAGTTCACTAGGATATATCGAGTCGACATATGAATAGAAATAACTTTTGTCATTTGCTTATACATTATCTTCTTTTCTTCTTATCAATATGTATAAAAGTCTGCTTCATTATGAATACATAAATAGGTTTGCTTATAATAGGGCGCAATCGGTACCCATGGGAATTCTAGAAGTACAAAATATCCAAAAACTAGATAGATATTGTCCATCAAAAACTCATGCATCTTCAGAATACTTGTGTGTATAACTGGTATGTTATACACAACTAAGTAGTTTTGTAAATGAACATTGACATGCTTAAGTAAATTTACACGTTCAAATATTATTGAAAAGTCAGTTGTCTATGTTATCAAAAAGGGTGGACTTTAATTCATTTGGGGTATGAATGTATCAAAGTCTTTTTTGAAAATTGATTCGCGAATCATTTTTGGTACGAGTGCTGATTAAATCCTAAACCAGGAACCCGGAAATGGAAAGATGCTGCAAAAGAAATTTGGTACAGTATCTCAATTTGGTACGTTTTTCTTTCATATATGCCAGTGAAGAAAGACGAGAAACAAGAACACATGGCTTGTGAACATTAGAATATTTGACATTAAGATTTTCAGTCTTTTTTTGTCATTTTAACAGACCGAAAGACTATTCTTTCATCAAGCAGACTTACTTATGTTAACCATTTAAACCTCAGCCATACCACCGTGTGACAGAATCTGTAAACTTTGTAATAATACTCAGAATACTAATGAATTCCATTATATATTAGAATGACTGTATTGAATTATAGCTAATAATGGGTAAAATTACTTGGGAGTGACTTGGGTAATTCTTCTTCCCATCCAATGCAAAACCACCGCACTCTGCATGAGGGGTGAGTGTCCATATACAGTGCTCACAAAATTAAAAGTTTAAAAGATTAAAAGCAGAGAGATGTGACATCTAGTGGCTGGCACTGGACAGCTGGGTCTTGAAGCTGTCCAGGGTCTTGGCCTGACACATTATTCTCACAGATAGAATGTTATTAAATTCATGGAACTAATGTCAACTTAAAACGAAAAAAAATATTATAAAAAGCTATGTATGTTTATCTACAAAAATATAATGCTGTCTTTATTCCTTGATATGTTTTTCCTATTTTATCTATTAATCAGGGACGTAGCAAAAGGGGGGGGGGCCTTGCCCCCCCACTTTTTTCCCCAACAGTGCCTTTACTATAGAAAATGTTCATTGAAAGGATGGTTAGCCCCCCTCCCCCCCCCCCCCCCCCCCCCCCCCCCCCCCCCCCCCCCCCCCCCCCCCCCCCCCCCCCCCCCCCCCCCCCCCCCCCCCCCACCACCACCACCCCCCCATGAAGTAGGATTTTCGAGTTTTTTTAATTTGCGGGTTTTTTTTGTTTTTTGGTTGTCAACTTTTTCAGGTAAGTAAAAAAGAATTTCTCTGGTTGGCCCCCCCCCCCACTTTCAAAAACGATGCTACGTGCCTGTTAATTCTTCCTTTTTTCAATCATCTGTCGTTTTTTTGTGTTATATAATAATTATGAGCCCCTGACCAGTTTGTATATATAACATAAACGTATATATAATATCGTATGTTATATGAACCCCATGTACTAATTTTGGTTTGAGTGAATAAAATGAGCTTGAACTAGACCTGTGCAGATATTCTGTTTAATGTTGTCATTAATATATCATTTGAATAAAGTCATATTTCATTTGTCTTTAATAGTTATTTAACATGTTTACAGAAGAGATGTAGGAAATAATTGAGATCTACCCAGAAGATCCAGCAGCCATTAATGTCCAGACTCTGCGGGGAGATATGTGTGCAGTTGTGGTGACGGGGGGCTCCGGGTTCCTGGGTCAGCACATCGTCAAACACCTCCAGCTGAGTGCCCCCTGGGTGACAGAGATCAGGGTGTTTGACCTGGTGCCCTTTGTCAAGTTTCTGGGTAACCTTCAAACTATATTAGTTTAATGGAAGGAAAATGAGATAGAGAACCCTCTTTCACATTGTAATCATATCATACTTAAACAAAAAACATTTTTAAAAAAGTATCTTTAAAAGTTTTAGGTTAAAAAAGAACCTGAAATAAATGTGTCAAATTAGGTACCATTTGCTTCGACCATGTTAACCATGCAAGCTAGTCATGGAGAGTACATGTAATTTGTATAAGATGGAATTACCGTACATGTATAAATGGAAATATTAGCGAGACGTAAAAGTAGCGATTTGTCCTTAAAAATAGGCATTTCATTTTTAGCGAGAAGTTATTTTAGCGATATTTAAAAGCTCACTAAAGGGTCCATTACAAAAAAATGCAATTAATTTTAGCGATATTCAATTTTAGTGATCTCAACACCCCCGCTAATGATGCCAAAATTAAATCCTCGCTAAAAATTCTGCTTATACAGTATTTTGTATATTTTAGACTACCGAGACAGACTAGAGGTAAAGAGCTACACTGGGAGTCTAGGAGAGACAGCGGCTCTAAGGAAAGCCTTCTGTAATGTGACAGCTGTGATCCATGTGGCTTCTGTTATAGACCCTAGGTTTCAGCCAGATAAAAAACTTCTTCAGGAAGTTAATGTCGAGGGTGAGTTTATAAAGTAGAATTTAGAGTTGCAATCAAGTGTATAAAATTTAAGATGTGCACTACCTAAATGGCATTATTATTTAATATATTTAAGGTGTTTGGACACAGATTTGAAGTTACCATGGAGTAATATTTTCTCAATTATTCAGTGTAATATTATGACTTAAATGTTTATAAAGCATTTCATGTAGAAATCTGATTAAAAAAAATCAATTTATCTGGAAATTATCAAAACTACAAATTCCATATGCAGTTGATTATGAACATATAAGTCATGATATTATGCTGAAAATTTGAGATATTTGTGTCCAAGCACCTTTAAATGAAATGTTATGTACCAGTATATGGCCAGTAAATGACAAGTATATTTTGATAAAGTTATTCATTGAATGAAAATATCAAGTACATGTACAAGATTTATCAAGAATTGCACTTGAAAACCAGAAGTCTCTGTCGAGACTGTAGCTCTACTGGTTTGTACTTATAACAAAGGATGAGAAAAGAAGCCATTGCCATCAGACCAAAACTGTAGAAGGAGTAGCGTTTTAAAGGTATTTCACAGACATTTCTATTTTTAGTAACAATGGCAACACTGTTCATCGAAATCAAAAACCGATGCACTATTTTATGTATCTTATTGTATAATCTCTGTTGAGATTCTGCTGGGCTAGATATTTGGACTGACGCCCGCATAATCTCTGGACAGCCATTAATATTTCATGTCTGGAAATCAAGTCCCAACTTTGGCCGACTGTAACAAGAATAATTCACCTAAGCCACACAGCTGCTTGCTTCAGTTAAGTCAATTTGACTCTCTATCACTTTTATTTCTACATTGCTTACCTTTTATAAATCCCATAACATAAAAAATTCACTGAAATTTCAGTTTTAAATTGGCTCCACGAAATTGTTTACCTCCTCAAGTAAAAGAGTTTGTATAGTCTGTTTTTACCCTTGGTGAATCTGAACCAATGTCTTCTGTGGCTATTGAACATCAATTAGGGTAAAAACAGACTATACGAACTCTTTTATTTGAGGAGGTAAACAATTTCCTTACAGGAGCCATATATAAAAACTGAAATTTCAGTGAATATTTTTATGTTGGGATTTACATGCCTAAAAGGTAAGCAATGTAGAAATAAAAGTGATAGAGAGTCAAATAAACAACCAAATGACTTAACTGAAGTGAGCAGCTGTGTGGCTTAGGTGAATTATTCTTGTTACAGTCGGCCAAAGTTGGGACTTGATTTCCAGACATGAAATATTAATGGCTGTCCAGAGATTATGCGGGCGTCAGTCCAAATATCTAGCCCAGCAGAATCTCAACAGAGATTACTTATTGTAGTCTACTTGTGTGCCAAGTTATATTGAAATCAGACCAAAATTGTAGGAGGAGTAGCGTTTTAAAGGAATTTTTACAGAAAATTCTATTTTTAGTAACCATGGCAACACTGTTCATTGAAATCAAAAACCGATGCACTATTCTATGTATCTTAGTGTAGTTTACTTGTGTGCCAAGTTATGTTGAAATCAGACCAAAACTCAAAACTGTAGAAGGAATAGCGTTTTTAAAGGATTTCACAGAAAATTCTAATTTGAGTAACCATGGCAACGCCGTTCCTCGAAATCAAAAACCGATGCACTATTTTATGTATCTTAGTGTAGTTTACTTGTGTGCCAAGTTATATTGAAATCAGATCAAAACTGTAGGAGGAGTAGCATTTTAAAGGAATTTCACAGAAAATTCTATTTTTAGTAACCATGGCAACACTGTTTATTGAAATCAAAAACCGATGCACTATTTTATGTATCTTAGTGTAATCTACTTGTGTGCCAAGTTATATAAAAATCAGACCAAAACTGTAGGAGGAGTAGCATTTTGAAAAATTGTTTACAGACAGACAGCTAAACAGACGGACAGCACAGACAGACAGACTGACGGACGACGGACACCTTACTATCGCATAAGCTCTTCTGGTCTCTGACCAGTAGAGCTAAAAACAGCATAACATGCTAATAAGACATTGATGCAGTGTTCTGATATTAAGCTAATTATTTATACACAACCTATTGTAGGCACTAGGAATGTGATTTCGGCCTGCCTGGAGGAGCGTGTGGCTAGCCTGATTTACTGCTCCTCTATCAGTACGGTTCAGGGCTACTCCCACTGTCTGGGAGGGACAGAAACGGAACTCAGGGATGTCAGTCCACTGTTATTCCGAGATTACGGAGGTACCAAAAAGGAGGCAGAGAAACTGGTACTGAAAGCTGATGGAACTCTCTTATCAAATGGTCAGTGAATGATTATATTTATATTGATAATTACTGGTAAAAATAATAATTACATATTTTACTTTAAAAGTTGGATTCACAGACAATCATCAATTTTGAAAGGATTGAAGGAAATATTTAATTAGAAAGTACATAGATAATTTTTTAAGTGCAATAGGTAATAAAATAGGCATTCTTTTAAATTCTTTCTAAATTAAATGTGGGATTTTATTCTGAAGGGAAGAAACTGAGAACTATATCTTTAATACCACCCACAATGTTTGGAGAGGGGGACAAATTGATTGCCATGATCTTACAGTATGCAGAAGATAACAATGGAACATTCATACGGATGGGCAGTGGACACAATCTTGAGGCCTATGCCTATGTTGGCAATGTAGCGTGGGGGTTTGTATGTTGTCTAAAATCAATGTATGATGACCCTAACTTGGGAAATGAGAGAATGTTTATCATGGATGACACACCTCCGCAATCTCTTCAGGTACTGAGTCGGCCATTTTTAGAGAGCAGGGGGTTTAAAATGACATCGTATTACATCCCTTTGTTTTTGGTGTTAACCATTTGTTTTATTGTGGAAACATTTTGTCTTTTAATCTCACCTTTTAAAAGAATCTCCTTTTCTCTGAGTTTATCAGGAATTATTTTTTCCACAAGGAAGTTTTATGTCAAGTATGACAAAGCTAAGACATTGATTAAATACTCTCCATTGTACTCGTTTGAGCAGGCAGTGAAGCAGTCTTTACCTTATTATAAGAATCTAAAGTTAAAAAATTAACTGACTCTCTCTTTTTGCATCCTCTATGTGTCAAATTGTTACCTGTGATGTTTTTTGAATGACATAATTTTATGAACAGTAATTGAATCTCAGTTTTTGTCATGATGATTTTGAACCTGTCTATCAGCAAAAGCATAGATATATATATTATGTATTATATGAAAAATGACCTTTATGAATTTTTTTGTGAACAAGAAAAGTTAGTGTATATATTTTTGTGATTCACTGTGTTACAGTGTATTTTGGTAGATGTTGTGTGTGGTTTTGGAGTATTTAATGTGCAATTAATTGTTATTATATCAAATATTTTTTAGAGAGACATTTATTTTTTTTTTCAACTACCAGGTAGTAAATTTACAACTTTGAGATCATTGTATGAATCTTAAAACTGTAGTACACATGTGTTTGTTAAAATCTGTCACAAATGTTTGCATAAGTCATAAGGTATGATATGTCCATTTTGATCCTTACATTGCAGGTTCTATCCCACTGGGGGATGTGAAGAACAGTCCTTTGGATAAGACTGTATAAACAGAGAAGATGTAGGTGCTGGCACCTCACTGCTCAATGGCTCCGAGTGCCAAGTATAGGTCTAAATTTGCAGCTGTCCACCGGCAAGTGGTGGCATCTCCATATGAGTGAAAAATTCTTGAGAACAAGTTCTTTAATACAGGGTTGCTACATGATCAAACATACAGCATTTTCGGCTTTGTGGGATTTTATCATGTGACCAACCTGTACATGTATTTACATCCCAATAAGAGTTTTTAAAATGATACCTTATTTCCTTATACAGGATAACACATTTAGCATGTATTCTAACTGTGACACTGAGTGTGTCAGTGTCATACACACTTGATCACTTTATTGCAAGACTCTTTACTTTACTGGACTCTATGTTGTTGTTTGAATGTCATTATATAACTAATGCGATTGTTGAGAGGTATGTACAAGTCTAGAGATTTTATTTGATGTTTATAACCTGTTCAATTTGAAGATTTATTTCTTACATAATGTGTCTGCAATCTGTTTTTTATGTATATTTTTCATTCATAATTGTAGATCTGGCTCTCATCATAAAATAGATCTGATCTGAAAACTTTTTTGTATGTGTGGAATAATATTCAATGTATTGTGTTGTTATGAATACTTATACACTAGTATATAAATACATGTATGGTAGAACATAATTATGTATACATGTAAATGGAAGTACTTGTACAAATATTTATACACCATGGAAAATTTAGAAGTACCTGTATTTTTTTAGGAAATGCCTTGTCTGTCATTTGTTCTATTCTTAAAGCTGTGCCTAAGCCTTTTCTTTGCATTTGAAAAAAACATTTAAATACATACAACTGTATAATTGTACATTACCTAATGATGTGCTTTGACCTCATACAAAGACATATGGGCAAGTTCAAATTTACCTGTAGGGAAAGCAAAAAAAATTCTTTCCATGTCATATTTTTTTGTAATTGAGAAACATTGGGGAGTTCAAATTAACAAAAATGTTCTGAATGAGTTATGCCAAAGTCATGAACAGAATATACATGTATCTCATTTCTTGGTGAACCAAACTCAAGGTTATTTGCTTAGGTCAGGGTCATTGATTAGAAAACACTTCAAAACAGAATGAATTTTTGAAGGGGCATCACTAGGTGAACTTGCTCATAGTTATAGATATTTGTAACAAGTGCTGTTTTTTTAGTATGTGGTTCCAAATTTATATGAAAATACCAACATCACTCAGGCATTGTTTTGAGAAATTTGCTCCAAGTTATATTTAAATGATCAAAGCACTCTATCACTCAGGAAGACTACTTTTAAATGTTTTAGTGAACTCATACTCACATTTTACCCGCAGATCATTTTTAATATAGCCAATACTCAATATTTTTTATATTCCTGTATCAATAGGTATTTTTTTATTTAAGCAGTTTAGAAATTAAATATTTTTATGTCAAAAATACTTATTTTGAAGCATAATCTACCCTGTTATGAAAAACTTGTACATGTATAACTGCATAATAAATTTACTAATATATGTGATTATGTTTTCTTTTGCCGAGTTTCAATTGGCTTGACCGGCCTGTTTCATTTAAAAAAAAAAGATCAAAAATTTTTATTTCCTTTTATTAATGATGGCACTTTTATTGTCCTTACAACTGCATAGAAGGACGGTTATTTAAATCTTACAAAACTCAATGCAAATTAAATGGACATGAAAACTGACTAAAATTAATAAATTACCAGCTGACAGGACAGACATACAATGTCAGTTCCATTGATCATGCTTAAAATCTGCACTAGCATGATTTTTTCAAACAATGATATTACCCACAGTGTGTTGCAATTCAGTTTTCACAATTCTTTTTTAACTGCAAAAACTAATACTTAAAAGTATATTAAGATCATTACATTTAATGTACTAATGAAACTGACATACAAATCAATATGCATCAACACGCAAAAAAAGTTTTTGTTGATAAATTATAATCTACTGCTAGTTTTTTTGTGTGTGTAAGAATATTTACCAGTGTCAAAATAAACATCAGTACAAAAGTAAAAAAAAGTTGATATAAATACATGTAGTATCAGCAAGTATAGAAGTAAAAAGAAACATTAATCAATTAACCATTTTCAATTGTCTAACAACAAATGCTATATGATCTAATTATGCACAGCACAACAAAAAAAGTCAGGTTTCCATTAAATGGACATTCAATGAGGAAAGACTTTGAGTTGTCGGAGGGCGACGCCCACTGTACAACCCAGCATGGTGATCAGTCCAATGTATCCAAAGGATCCCCACCGCCTCTTCTCGGGTTCTGTAAAACATCATCAATATAATACTATTACTGTTGTGATACATGTGTATACCTGTATGTATGATATACTTCATCATAAAGGGCCTTAACTCCTAATCCAGTCAGATAATCTCTCAGGAATATTACTTTTTTGATTGCCTTTGTTTAAATTGATTTTTTAATTTTACTTTTTTCAGTAGTTATGATCACCAAAACATGCATGGCTTTCAAGCATTTTAGAAAGGAAACAATGTATTTTGGAATAATGATTTATCTTTAAAACAACACATGTGAATGTACTAATAGTTTAAAAGTTTTCTTACTTTACAATGCTACTACCGGTAGTTAAATGATGAAATTGTACTAACTGCAATATTGCATGTAAATTATTTTAAGGATACTTATAAAAGCATTAAGCCACAGACAGACAGACAGATGGGTACATACCTCCTGTATAGTAGCCCTTGGCAAAGGCAATTCTACTGATATAATACAGGGTCCCTGCACAGGCAGATGTTCTCTGTAACATCAAAACAACAACATTTTTAATGTCTGTAGAATGCAAACTCTTACTATCATACGGTGATTCTTTAGGTTTTATTAAATTAAGTGGCGATAATTAAATTTTATGTGCAATATTTACAATATGTATTAGCACATGTATTTTGTGAAAATGATTAATCATTGGACAAATATAAATCTTTGCCAGGAAACACACTAAGTAATGCTCAAACAAAAATAATATAGCTTACAGGGTACTGGAGTCCACCAATAAATAACAGCATCAGGAATTGTGGGTAGCTTTCTAGTCTAAATATAAACAATCACATATATACAGTTTGATGTAACAATGTAAATAAGAAATGTATTAGTAAAAAGTTCCATTCAACTCCAACCCCCCAGTTCTTAAGTAAAACATCGCTGAATAAAAAAAGACTATATATTAAATTTTTTAAATGAACTTAAGCAATGTCAACCTTTAATCATTTTGATTTAGAAACCTTGTTAACAGTCCATGGATACTTTTTTAATATTATTTAATAATAATATTATAATAATAATACTAATAATAAATAAAATAATAATATTGAGAAAGACAAGAGGCCCAAGGACCTTGAATCGCTCTTCTGATAAATTGTACAATCTATCATTTCTATTTGAAGCTTCTAACTCTAAGTATCCCAAGATGCATCAACTGACATAGTTTGATGATTCTTTGCCAGTTAAGACTGAAGATTTTTCAGTACAGCTATAAAATACCATAAGTAGGTCAAGGTGACTTACTTTTTGATTTGAAACTTTCTGAGGACTCAAGATACATTAATTGACAGAGATTGATGGTTCTAAGCCAATAAGTACCTCATATATTCAAAAGTAGGTCACTGTGACCGTCTTATGGTTGACATTCTCCGAAAATCGTAGATGCATCAACTATCAGAGTTTGATGATTCTAAGCCAATAAGTACCAGAGATACTTAAATAAAGCCATAAAATGTCAAAAACAGGTCACCATGGCCTACTTTTGGTCGACATTTTCCGAGGACCCAAGATGCATCAACTGACGTTTGATGATTCTAAGCCAATAAGTATCTGAGATAATTAAAAGTAGGTCACTGTGACCTTCTTTTTGGTCGACATTCTCCGAAATCCCAAGATGCCTCATTTGACAACTTTTGATAATTCTAAGCCAAAAAATACCTAAGATGTAGACATAAAATGTCAAAACTAGGTCACAGTGACCTACTTTTTAGTTGACATTCTCTGAAAACCCAAAGTTGCATCAACTGACAAAGTTTGATGATTATAAGCCAAAAAGTACCTCAGATACTTAAATATAGCCATAAAATGTCAAAAGTAGGTCACCGTTACCTACTTTTTGGTCGACATTTTCCGAAGACCCAAGATGCATCAACAGAGAAAGTTTGATGATCATAGGTCTGAAAGTATTCAAAATATGCCTTTTAAACAATTTGAAAACAAATGCCTGCAAAATTTAAAAAGTAGGTCACAGTGACCTACTTTTTCATAAATATGTTTTAAGGCCCCAAGATGCATCAACCTGCAAGATTTTGTGATTCTAAACCTCTCAGTATCTGAAATAATGGGATTAAATGTTTTAGAAAAGATGAGCCATAAAATTCAAAAAGTAGGTCATGGTGCCCTACTTTTAAGTTGACCTTGTTCAAGGACCCAAGATACATCAACTGACAAAGTTTGATGATCATAGGCCTTAAAGTGTCCAAAATATGCCTCCAAATCAATTTGAAAACAAAAGCCCGTAAAATTTAACAAGAGGCCCAGGGGCCACAGCGCTCACCTGAGCACATGGGGCTTGAATTTACCCCCCCCCCCTCCCCTCCAGGCGTTCATCATTTAAACAAACTTGAATCTACACTACCTGAGGATGAGACCATATAAATATCACTAATCATAGCTTTGAAGTACTTGAAAAGAAGATTTTAAAAGGTTTCCCTATATATCCCTATGTAAAACTTGGGTCGGCCATTTTGGCCCCATCCTAGCCCCGGGGGTCATGATTTGAACAAACTTGAATCAACACTACCTGAGGATGATTCCACATGAGTTTCATCTTTCCTGGCCCAGTGGTTCTGGAGAAGGATTTTAAAAGATATTTCCTATATATCCCTATGTAAAACTTGGGTCGGCCATTTTGGCCCCAACCTTGCCCCTGGGGGTCATGATTTGAACAAACTTGAATCTACACTACCTGAGGATGATTCCACGTAAGTTTCATCTTTCCTGGCCCAGTGGTTCTGGAGAAGAAGATTTTTAAAGATTTTTCCTATATATTCCTATGTAACACTTGAGTCGGCCATTTTGGCCCCATCCTTGCCCCGGGGGTCATGATTTGAACAAACTTGAATCTACACTACCTGAGGATGATTCCACATGAGTTTCATCTTTCCTGGCCCAGTGGTTCTGGAGAAGAAGATTTTTAAAGACTTTTCTTATATATTCCTATGTAAAACTTGGGTCGGCCATTTTGGCCCCACCCTTGCCCCGGGGGGTCATGATTTGAACAAACTTGAATCTACACTACCTGAGGATGCTTCCACATGAGTTTCATCTTTCCTGGCCCAGCGGTTCTGGAGAAGAAGATTTTTTAAAAATGCCATTAATTTTTAACAAATTCATGATTATCTCCCCTTGGAAAAGGGCTTGGCCCTTCATTTGTATAAACTTGAATCCCCTTCACCCAAGGATACTTTGTGCCAAGTTTGGTTGAAATTGGCCCAGCGGTTCTTGAGAAGAAGATGAAAATGTGAAAAGTTAATGACGACAACAACGACAACGACGACAGACGACGGACAAATTTTGATCAGAAAAGCTCACTTGAGCCTTCGGCTCAAGTGAGCTAAAAAGTAAGTCACCGTGACCTACTTTTGTGTTAACATGATGTGAAGTCCTAAGATGCATCATTTTTACTTACAAGATATGATGACCCTAGTCTTTATAGTAAGCAAAATATCAACGTTTTTATTAAATGTAAATTTTGGTTAACTTTGAAGTGACCTTGAGACCATGCCCTTTGCCCCAGGGTCATGCCTTGAACAATTTTTAATCTTCAACATATCCTGACCCTTGTATGTAAGTTTGATGAAAATCTGTCTGGTGGTTCTGGAGAAGAAGATTTTTAGCAACCAGTACTTTTGGGTTTTTTTTCCCTGATTATCTCCCCTTGTTTTAGGGTCCCAACACTAGTTTTAGTATAAATGGTAGTCCTTGGGCCAAGGATACCCTGTGACAAATTTGACAATGATTGGCAAAGGGGTTCTTGAGTTATGGCCCATATTCTAAAAAGTTAACACACACTGCACGACGCACATCACACAAATGGCCATAGCATTAGCTCTTTGAGCCTTTGACTCAGAAGAGCTAAAAATGCATGGACAGACTGATAACTTTAGACCAATATAAAGGACAGTTTTTCAAATCTAAATATAAGAATTAAAGGTAGTAACTTATAAGTTCTTATTTTGGTCATGCAGTTTAAATATAAAAAGACAGTGTTATCTTGAATGATAAATATTTTAGCAAAAATAGTATGCCCTACCGTTTCCGACAAAGATAACAAGAATTACACAACACTGTAGATAAAAATATCAAAATCATACAGAGTTAAGAAGCAATGAAAGATAAAGCCTTTTAATATTGTGTTTTAAACCATATATATATATCTATGTACATGTACATCATAATCTGTAATTTAAGAAAAATCCAGTTTTTGGTACAGTAAAATATATGCAATGAAAAAATTCAAGAATCACAAGACTCGAGCAGTCATTTTTACTGTAAGCGCTGTCTGCCTTTTAATGGCTCTTCAGACAGTTACAAACAATTACATAATCTGTATATACATGTACAGATAGATAGAAAGTTTTCAAAGTAAGTTTTGAATATTCTTACGTGTTCTGATGTGCTCGCTGAATGCAGTTGAACATTTTATTGTCAGGACTGTACATGTTAGGATACTAAATAGTTAATAAAGAAAAGAAAGAAAATTAATGACAAAACAAATAATATGACATATTGTTATTGGGAGATAATATACATTTATTTCCTACCTAGCTTGTAACACGAGCTTTGATTGGTTACAAAGTCGGGTGTAAATATCCGTGCACCCGACTTGAGCCGGGTGTAAATAAAACGTGACGTCACAATGCATACATTCTCAGTACGTAGTTATCTAATCGATAGATTGAGACACACTCTGATGTTTACAAAGCTTTTTTTATTGGTACAAAGGAAATAAATTCGTTATCCAGGTCCAATCAAGGGTGTATGGGGATTTACCCCGGGTTTTATTCCATACACCCTTCGGCCTGCGGCCTCAGGGTGTATGGAATAAAACCCGGGGTAAATCCCCGTACACCCTTGATTGAACCTGGATAACTAATAGTAGCCATGTGCTATAAACAATTCTCAGTATTTAAAATGTCATGAGGGCAGATAAATATTGAACGTGTTGAAATAGGTAATAAATCCATTTTTGTTCTCCAAAATTGCCAGTCTGAGAGTGGATTCACTCTGTTTTGCTACTTTTGTGCTAAAAACATTACAACTACAATTACGTCATGGAACATTTTCTCACTGTTACCACTAGTAGTGAGAATCAGTCCTGAGACAAAGATCATTCTAACTAGGTAAATACATATACTAGGTACTACTTACTGGAATTTCATACGTCTTCCTGGCCTTGGCTACATTGATACCCATCCACATGTTGATAAAAGTACTTGCCACACCTGTGAAGATAACACACCCATAGTGCTCTGGCAGGGAGTCCACAATTTTTGACAAGTTTCCCATACTATAAAAATAAAACATATATCAGAATATTTGTTATATGGTATTAATGCAGCACTCAAACTTTTGTTTCATAGAAAACATTCAAAACTGTTAACCCCTCAGTGGCAGGTCTTGTCTCAGTTGTAATACTAAGTATTGCTTCCTGGTATAAACAACTGATCAACACTTGCTTATTTCACTCCTTCCATTTGCTAACATGCAGCTAGCTTACAATTACAGCTAGGCTTGATCGCTGGTGGCCAGATAGCTCTGTTAGTAGAGCACCCGAATGGAGATTCAGGGGACCTGGATTCGAATCCTGGTCTGGTCCAGGCCACTGCATTTTTATCGCCATTTAAATGGCCCTATTGCTGACAGATGGAGCATCACTTGAATTACGGCGCCTCCTTGCCATTCGACTTCTTTGCGCATGACATCAGCACACAAATACACAAACTATCACATGAAAATACAGGTGTGGTGTTTCTGCTGTTTTTCCCCTCATATTAGCTAGATGTCATTTTTGACAATTGCTTTCTAAATCAATAAATAAACCAAATATCATTCTGTTGTTTAAATATGTACTTTTTCACAATCCTTTCATGTACTAGTATTTACGAAAGATCCACACGTGTTATGACCACACTACTTTGAAACTGACTGGAATTTTGTGTATTTGTGTGCGGCAGTGCCATTCTAATTAAAATTAAATGTTCCGAATCTGCTACCGCTTCTCAAACATCTAACAACATCCTATTCGGGGTCACGTCAGAGCGCCCTTTCGATTATGAATAAACACAACAATTTTGGCCAAGTAATTTTGGTATTAATTTAATGTATAGTCCGCCAAACTGACATCCTTACGTGAATAATGCAAATGAAAAAGCACAAACTATACAAGATATCCCACACGTCACATTCATACATAGCACAGCTTTTGCAATGCATATTTTGTTTACTATGAATCTCCTCGGGTGTTTAGGTTCGGCAGTGAAAAGATGAAACCTATCCGAACTATAAGCCAAGATTTCGGAGGCAACAATTTTATTGGCTAATCGAAAGGTCGCTCTGACGTGACCCCGAATTGGATATTGTTAGATGTTTGAGAAGCGGTAGAGGATTCGGAACATCTAATTGTAATTAGATTGTTTTTGTGCTGACGTAATGCACAAAGAAGTCGAATGGTGAGGAGGCGACTTATTTTAAGTGATGCGTCATTTGTCAGCAATAGGGCTGTTAAATGGAGATAGTATCCTTTAAAGTTGTATAAGAATCATCCCTTTACTGATTTCTCACGGCTTGGAAGTTAGTTCCGCGAAATAAAGTTGTAAAAGGTAGGCAGAGTCGCGACACCAGCTGGTGTCAATGAATTCCCACTTTTCAATATGGTCTCTGCTCTGACTCTCCCCTGCACATGTCACAATATAAAAAGCGGGTACTACTAAACAGAGAACCCTAGAGAACCTTAGAGAACCCTAATGATATTTAGTTATTTATGGTCTGTAAATGAAATGTTTATATTTTAAATAACAAATATATCATGCTAAAACAAAATTAAATTAAAAAATAAATATTTTGACACGTTTTTTGCTTAGTTTAACAGATAACTATAATCTCTTAAGACTCCATAATAGCTTTTGTGATAAAACTAGCAAGAAATTAATTAATAAGTATTAGATCAGAGTATATGCTTAAGAATTAAACATATCATTAAAATTTATTAAAAATAATGTGAAAACATTGTAAAATTTCCTGATAAAGATTATTATTTCGATAAACAATGTTTTTGAAATTCAATCGGGATCGGGATGTCATAAAATATTTCTCCATCTATTTTGTTACGTTTTTCTGGTGAAAACTTCCATAAAATAACTTTTTAATTGATTTTATGTATAAAGTATGATTTATTTAGTAAAAATCAACCAAATTATGCATAAAATGTATCAAAATTCACCATATAAACCCCAGGTTCTAGGGTTCTCTAGAGTTCTCTAGGGTTCTCTGTTTAGTAGGACCGTATAAAAAAGCAGGGGGTTAGATTCATAGGAATCTCGGATTATTGTGCCAAGACTTGATAATTATTTTTATTGCAAACTTACTCATAAATAAACTATAATTTATCCTCTTCCCCAGACCAGAGACACGAATAACAACCCAGTGTCTCTAACATATGAAAAATTACAAGCTAATCTGCAGAAAACATGGAAAAAGTGTGAAAAGTTAAAGGGGCGTGACGATTAACACAACGAGCTGCCACTCTTTCATCATTAATATTCAAATGACACTGCCAGATTAAACTGTGTCAGTTATCTGTTGTTGTCCATTATTATTATTATTCCTGCAATAATAGTAAAACTACTTGCTTGCAACTTCAAGCAGCTCAGTGTTTTTCTCCAAGGACAATCAAGTCGTCAGCACGTTCTTGAGAAAAATTGGACCGGAAGTGCTTTTTCTTATTAATTCATACCAAGAAAATTCGCAGAAATTATCCTCAATTTGAGGAAACAAAACATGCCAATACGGTATATGAGACAAAAGCATGAATATAACGACAATATTGCTATCAATAATAATATAATTTTGATTATTAAAAAAAAATATATTATAATAAATTTTAAAATATGTTATTGTATAACCCCCCTGGACATAAGTTAAGATAATCTATGGAAGTCTGCTGATTATAATAAAACTACAAAGCTTGAATGTCATAACTGGAAGTGTATTAGGGCCGCAGCAGTATCTTTTATGAATTTGTTTTAACAAATTATCAATTCCTTTAAACAAATTATCAGTTTGTTTTAACAGATTATCAATTTGTTTTAACAATTTATCAATTTGTATAAACAAATTAAATAATTTGTTAAAACAAATTAGTAATCCGTTAAAACCAGGGACCTATATACTTAGTATATAGGTCCCTGGTTAAAACAAATTAATAATTTGTTAAAACAAACTAATAATTTGTTGAAACAAATAAGTAATTTGATATAACAAATTAGTAATTTGATTAAAAAAAAATGTGTAATTTGATAAAAAAAAAAAAAATTGTAATTTCATAAAACAAATTAGTAATTTGTTAAAACAAATTACTATATTTGACAAAATTTGAAGTGTATACAGATCTACGAAATCCTGATCAAATTAGATATATTAGTTAAAGTTAGATTCGTGAAAATAATTTGCATGCAACTGTCGAAGTTTTTGGCCAATAATAAGGCTTTCTTGGGACTATCTCTACTTTTATCTAGCGACCCAAGAAATCATTTCAATATTTTAGATCCATTGACATTTCAGCCACTTAGTTTGACGCAAACGGTCCAAGAAGGATTATTGCGCTTTCTGCAAATCCACAAGCCTTACAAGACAAACACAAGGTTTAATTATTATGAATTCTGTGAAGGATAAGGCCAGACGATGGGCAAAATATGAAAAAGAAGACCTTGACACTTTCAAAATGCATTTTAAAAAGAGTATCACATTGGCGATCAATCATTAAGCGACTGACAGGCAATATGAAAACATTTATCCTTCTGTTTTCCGCAATGCAGAAGTGAAACAAGAATTAATTAATACAACAAGTATTAGCTTTCCTAAAAAGCTTATCTGACGTGGTTTGCTTAAATTCATAAAGCGGAAAAGAAATAATATATTATGTTATATAATTTCTTTCTTTTGATAATATTTCTTCAAGAGACCATGCATAATCAATATTGTAAACAATGTACAAAGAACTTTAAATTGAAGCTCCTGGCTCCAGGATCATGAAACAAACTAAGACTTAGGTGAAATTTTTAATCACCAATAAAATATTTATTAATTATGGAATTTTATTTCTTCATTTGCACATAACAACATCTCTGTGAAACAATATTAAAAATAGCCCTAACCCTGACCCTACTGGTCTGCTTGACTTTTACAACATTTTATTATAAAATAAAGATTTTGTTCGACTTAGGCTTAAGATGTTTCAAGATCTCTGGTCAGCATTTTTCAAGTAATGTTTTATATGTTAAATGGCCTAACTGATTTTTTTTTTATTCAACAAGCAGAATAAAATGAAGGTTGTAAATGATCGATGAAATCAATGGAAAGATCTTTGATCACTGGGCGCGTATAACCCTATAACCCTAACCCTGGCGATAACAATCTTGGCAGAGCGTTACACATGCTGACCATTCCCCTGTTGTTTTGAAAGCTTTCATTGCTTCTCAGACTATCTGATGTACAATGATTCTCTACTTAACACTGCTACGTAATTGATTGACGAAATTCTGAACTGAAGCATCTGGGAAAAGAAACAAGAAGATGCAAATTAATTCACAATGTAATATCGTCCAAAAATAATCGTTGGATAGGAGTGAAGTATAACACTTCAGCAACACACAAATCTATTTACACAATAAAGAATTAAAAGCGAACTTGAATAAGACATTGTTTTCTATTTACACTGCATTTTTCTCAGGCACTGTATTATCAGTTTTTACAATACTTGGAGCAGGGCAACTGAAAATATTTGACCACGTGCCTGATGTCTAGGTACTAGTAATTCAATGTCAAGGTATAATTTTACTGAAAATAAGCAATCAATTATTTAACCATAACATGTAAAATGACTTAATCTTTGATACACAACACAAAACAGTGAGATATAATAAGGCATTTTTTTTATAGAGAACTGAAGCGGACATTTTCAAAGATGAAAGCGCAGATTATACTAAAACAATCGTATCATTCAGTAATGTAAATAAAAGCTCATTTCCTCCTGGGACGAACTACATGCGTCTTTGGAGATTATGCTTGTATCGAAATTTTCACCATCGAACTATCTAAACAATTTCATGGAACGACTGCATAAATAATTAAGCCCTGGTTAAATCTAGTACTGTCTGACGCCGTGACGTCAGACAATCAGTATGTACTGATCCCAGTTGAAAAAGCAGTAATACTATTTTTTTAAAATGCGTTTAACGGTTTTAGAGGAACTACATTAAATTCTGCAAATGCTAATCCAACTTACACCCATAACCCCCTCTCTAAGGAAGAAATTATCCAAAACCGTACACAAGTTTTAAATATTTATTAATATTCCGAATTAACAAACAAAATGAATTTGAATCACCATACTTGTAATGGATTCCAAAACTCTATAAAATTCCTTGTAAACAAAGATGAATATAGAGTTCCAGTAAATTTATACCAAGTCTCACTGAAATATTTACAACATGCAGTAGAGGAGAAACTTCAGGAGGACTGTATATACAACAGTATATTGGAGAAGTTGTGTTATTTAAATGTGGAAACTCAAAATCTCAAAGAAACTTTTACATGTAGATTAATTTGAAATCACAATTTTCTTTTTACATAAAATCTATAACATCAAAACGTTTGACTTTTCAAAAAGACTTTTTATATTCTTTCCTATCCAAAAAAAAATATTTTGTTAAAAACATTCCGATTGTACACACAAGTATTCCGTCGAAGCTGGTATTGAAAAGATGCTTGATGATCAGTTTCTGGTTGACGATATCTGTCTATAGTTTTTGAAGATCATGTCTTCCAACTATCTGTTTAAATTTCCATTGGTATTAATTGCTCCCCAATAAAGGCAGACGTAATTTTTTTTTTTATACATATAAGTAGAATTTATTTTTTAAAATTCTAGATGAGAGGAAGAAAAACACTTGATATAGAGCCTTCTAATCGATATTTAGATATATATCGACGGGGTATTCTCATTTAGAAATAGTTACTTTGGGTGAGACCGCAATAAACCGAGGTCCCGCGGTGGGTGTTGGCAAGAAAAGGATCTCTCCCTGCATGTTCAATGGCCCTGAGTGCCGAGTTTGGGTAACCGGTAAGAGGTGGCATCTCTATATGAGTGAAAATTTTATAAACAAGACAATAGTTACTATAATTCATATGTCGATTTTATACGTCCTAGTGAACTTAAAATAAAAGATACATCTGTTTCATATTTAGATATTTTACTAGAAAAAGACATTAATGTGAACCTCACAACAAAATTTTATGATAAATAAACGTGATGATTTTAATTTTTCGATTGTCATCTACCCTTACTGTGTTCTAACCATCCCAGCTCTACGTACCATCAATTTTTAAAACGAAGCAAGCTTTTGACCAACAGGTTGATGAAAAAAGGATATGTAAAAAATCTCGTTTGATTCCATCATTTCACAAGTCCTTTGATCGATATTTTTAAAATTACTTCGGTCGATACAATTACCGAACAAATTTACAATTTATCATTAGATCAACTACTGATTGTTACTTTACTTTTTGTTAGGCCATTATTTATATTTTGAAATTCATACAGATATTCCGTTTAAAAGATCATGACATGGAGCATGATGCAAAAGGCGAGTGCAGCCGCTCGACAGGGAATGCTTACTCCTTCATTGCAAATATTATTTAAAATCTCCTCACGGAAAATAATAAAGAGCAAGAAACCATTATTAAAACTGAGGTTGACAAACGCTGTAAGCTTGTTGAAGAGAACTATAACAAGAAGATAGAAAAAATGAATCAGAATATTGAGGCACTTGAGGGGAAAGTGGAGAATTTAACTGAAAAACTCCATGAATGCAAAAAAGAATTGCGCGAATCCAAGCAACTCCAAGAAGAAACGCGCAACTCAGTGGAGGCTCTTCGACGAAGCAATTATAACGAGCAGTATTCTCGCAAGCACAATTTCAAAATTATGGGCCTCCATGAGGATAAACAGGAAAACACATGGGAACTAGCCAAAAATTTCATCGAAGAGAACGTAGAAGTCGAATTACATGATCATGAAATTGTAGCAATACATAGGATTCCTGGGGAAGCGGGAAAACACAGACAAATACTGGTAAAGGTCCTAAACACAGACGTAAAGGCAAGGGCGATGAGGAAAAGATCAACGATCAAGGAAATGGGCAATGGGCTTAAATTAGTTGATGATGTGACCGAATTAATCAACCAGCTATTGAAATTCCAGGAAGTTGAAAGTGCATGGTATTTCAATATCTATTAAATCTACCCAATACCTAGTAAAAACTACTTTTAAGGTAGTGATCGTATGGACAGTAAATTTACTAGTTTTGTTAGTGATTTTACTAGTTATTTTTACTAATAGTATCTAGTAAATCTACCCAATACCTAGTAAAAACTCCTTTTAAGGTAGTGATCGTATGGACAGTAAATTTATTAGTTTTGTTAGTGATTTTACTAGTTATTTTTTCAGTGTGTGCAGTGTATGGAAAGTATAATAACAAAAAAAAAAAATAAAAAAAATAGGCCATTATTTATATTTTGAAATTCATACAAATATTTCCGTTTAAAAGATCATGACATGGAGCATGATGCAAAAGGCGAGTGCAGCCGCTCGACAGGGAATGCTTACTCCTTCATTGCACCTGACCCTACCTCTGATGTTTTTGGTGGCCTGTATTTGCGACGG